TCTTGTTCAGCGCACTATCCTAATCTACTACTATCCTAATCTCCTACTCTACTACTATCCTACTATCGTAATATCGCAATCTACTACTCTCCAGCGATTTCAATCGATACGTATCTAATCTTGTCAGCGCAATCTCCTACTCTACTACTATCCTAATCTCCCCGTCAATACATATGTTTTTCATTGTCGCGTACTATAAAATATAAATAGATCTCCGGAGTCGCGAACTATGAACGCGGCCTTCCCACTTCGTTCATTTTGGTGCCTGCTACTAAGTAGCCTGATCATTGATAAATTTTTGGGGCTATGATCATTTTAGCTTTATCACGGTATGGTTTTGATGACGTCATTTAAGATGGTTGGTGGGAGGCTTAAGGCCAATGTCAGACATCGCGAATCGAGCGAGTCGCTAGCGCCCAAGATCGCGTCGCGGCCACCCAATCGCTCGATGGCCACATCCCACAACGCGACCGCAGAGTCACCCGATTCGCAAAGTCGGACATCGGACTTAGAGTTCCAACCGCACCTCTGCGCGTTGGGTCTAATCCACCAGTGACGATCCTTGACGTCATTGAAACCGCAACTGCCTCCATCGTGATCACTACCTCCACACATCTAGGGATTAAGAAATTTTTTTTGATTTTCTATTGCATCACTATTTCTATGCCTTTAGACAGAAGAAGAACAGACCAGCCATTCTGATTGATGGGCGATACAGGATAGATAGTATCGCGGAGATGGAAGACGTTTTGGAAAAGCTTCATGTGGCATTTGTCCACTGTGCCGTGAATAATTTGTTTGTTTCTTTCCTCTCTTATGTTTTGTTGACGCATTTGAACCAATATTTTCAACAAATTGATTTTTTGTGGGGACGTTTATGTTAAGGGATTAGTTTATGCAGGCGAATCCTCTTCAAAAGTCGCTTCTACTGCCCTGGATTTTGCAATGCCGCCAACGAGGTCTACTCCCGGTGCTGGTTTTGCAAGACTGAAGGAAGGAAGAAGCGCCGTTTTGTTATAAAGTGTACGTAGGTTTCTATTCAAACGTCCTTTGGTTCTTTTGGTTGTTTAGCGGTCGGCTTCGATTCACGTAAAACATTTTCTGATATCGAACGTCCTCCAAATTGTTAGGTTGGCAGGTATAGCTGGAGAAAGTAACATCGCAATTCATAACAGCACATAATATTGATACCTTACCGCTGGCTTGCTAGTTGTATTAACAATTGTTTCCTTCCATCGCTCCCCTCATCTGACCTTGACTCTGCACAATGTAAAATTGCCGAAGAGGTGCCTAATGGATGCAATGAATGCATGCTTACTGTCATGGAAAAGGTATTTTGCGGGCGAACAAAAAACCCATGCGCAGAGAGCGCTCTCATAGGTCGATCGTCCGATCGTAACGATCGCAACGACCGCACAGCACTAGATACGTAACGATCTCCCACCAGTTTTGTAATAATCTACATCATACTATTGTTCGTCTGTGTTGGGAAAAAATCAGTTGCAGGTTATGAGTACGACGTCATAGTACAAGGCGATATCAATGATCCGTCACGAAAGTTCGTGATCAAGCCTCGTGGAATATCGCCTGAAGATGCCGAAAATTTCATGGCCACTGTACTGGCATCCTGTGATGACATCATAACACTAGAAGAAGCCGCAAATATGGCCGATACATCGAGGGAGGTAAATCAATGTTCGATAACTTGGTACCTATTGAGTCGTGAAGTCTCCATAGTGAAGATACAAACAGTACAAGTGTTTGATTCTTTTTTCGAAGGAGTCACCGTCGACGAAGAAGCGAAAGCTAAATGAACGACTGAGTCATGAATTCACAAGGAAGAAGGCGGGAATTGTCTTTACGTGGAGGTGAGCTAATAAGAGTTTCTACGTAGCAAATAATGCTGCACCCTTATGCCCTACACATTGACTTGAGCGACACAAGGGGCTTCAATAATGGCACGGTTCGACCGCGTAATTATCTTGGTTCCACCCATCTCAATGCATCCCCGTCTACCGTAAGCGTTTGATATCTCTTCCTTCACCATCACCTTTTTTGATTCTCATTTTGGACATGCTCATTACATTTATGACGGTGTTCATCTCTACCAGTTTTTTGTTGTTTTCTAGGGGGTCTTGAACAATGTCATGATTTTTTCTTGTCTATTAGAGAGCGCCTGCTCGCTGCTGGGGCATACCTGAAAAAGACTTTCAAGGCTGAATGTTTCATATTTCTATCCAATGCCGTGTTGCCTAGGACTTGTTCGAAAACTCACCAGTTCGAAGGAGGACTCCACGATTAAGACGAAGGTCGAAAAGGGAGAAACTAACCTAGCGGAGAGACAGACGAACCTCCTGAGGGTGTGGACCGACACGCAGTTCGCAGCCGCAATTAGAATATGCCCCGTCGAGCTGGCATGGCCTTCCGCGCGGCGCAAGTTGGCGCACTATTGGCGCGGTACGCCCCCTCTCGCGTCGTCTCGTGTCTGAGTCTCTAGCCGTTTAGCAGAGAGAGCGTTAGCGTTGAAGAGGGCAGCACCGATGAGAGTCGCATCAATGCGCAAATCAACGGGCAAGACAAGGATTCCATTTCTGTTAGGCCTTTTTTCGGTTTTTTTCCTCTTTCGTGTATCACTGACCATCTGCAACTAACTCCCGATGAGCTGCCTTTTCATCGTAAAATCCGCCTTTAAATCGCCACAGGCGAACAAAACCAAATTTTTTCTACTCAAGTCTCCCTCAACATCTTCCATAACCAAGGCTAAATATTATGACTGAAACTGATTTTTCCCTTGGGGGCCCTTTCTTTCCTTTTTTTCGGCTTTCAAACACTCGGTTTCATTTTTCCTGTGTTTATAGCACTTCCGTGCTTCAAATCTTAACTTTTTTGTTACCAAGCTCTTTGTGTCTGTCGTTCTGAAACCACTATGTATAATGTTCCAGAGCCGAATCCTACCATGCACATGGATACAGCAGAAAAGAAAAAAGAGGAACGACATACACAGGTTTCTTTCTCAAATGGAAACAAGAAATTTGATTCCAGACTTGGCTCGTAATTCCCATTTGATTTTTTTTTTGAAGAAATCTCCTTGGGTCCGACACCAAGCAATGACTGGAGTGATACTGACAGCTCTGCATGTGAAAGCAGTCAAAATGCCAGCGGTTCTGTCATTTATAATTCAACCTACCAGTGCGCTGCTAGTGAAGTTTATCCTGCGTGAGCCATTTGCCAATTTTTATCTGTTATACCCTACCACGTGATAAAAAGACCATTCCTCCAATGTTTTCAGGGATGCTGAAATGCACTTGCACCACTCAACTCCATGTGTTCAAGAAGATTATCACCCATACCAACCACAGGCGAGCTGCGTTCTGAATGGACTGACTTCTGAAGAGGTTTGACGTATAAATGTCTAGTTGTAGTTTGTTACTTCACAAGCAGTATGAGCTTGAACTTGGCAGATTTGGCATGACAACGACGGTTGTAGTCAATCCACAGCGAACAATGATGCAGATTTTTCTGAAGGGGAACCAGTTCAAGGTATTATTTCATGATTTTCCTATAATACTTGGTTACTTAGTTTTATTTTGGATTTATTTCTTTCACTCCTTTGACAGCCGTTGGGAGTCAGGATAAGACCGACGTCATAATTTGCGATTCGGAATCGGATCGCACAGCATGACGTCGGTCTAAGGCACGTCCCTACAGCGAACGCAAGCCCTGACTTGGAAACAAATGCATAGCATGACGCATTGAACGAGAGTTTGTGCAAGAAAAATATTATAGCCGTTCTGGATTTATGCAGGAACTCCACGTGAACACCCTTCGACATATGTTGTCTCTCACAGAGCGTTATACGTTTCTCCTGGGTACCCAACAGGAGGCCCGTCGCGTGACGAAAATGCTGCTGCCTTGCGACACGACCACTGTCCCGTCTGCACCTCTGCCTCCTCGCCGCGCGATGATTCCTCTTGTCGGGCATCTTGTGTCCCCTAATTATTTGCTAATATGAGGACGCTGAAGTTTGATAATAGGTTTTTCGTACAAGAGGTAGAACTTAGGGGTTAAAAATCTAGTTTGGGTGGGGGAGGGGAACTCCATTGTGTTCTGCAATGCTTAAAAATGAGAGTACTTATGATACATTATCAACTGATTCAAAGCATACTTCTGATACATACCGATGTAATGTGGAAGTAATCCATAGGTGCCCCCCCCCAATTTGACCTGCACTGGTCCAAGGAAACGGTCATGAACTAGGGGGTGGAGATCTTTGCATAGACGTAAGGGTGTGAGAGCTCCAGGGTGCATGGCCTGGTGCAGAAATTTGGATAGATTCAAATTGTATTTTAGAGCACTTTGGTATTTGCTCTCCTTACCAATAAGAAGACATAATAAACCGGTAGTTCTGCAGATATCTATTTTTCCTCGCAAAAGCGATAATTTCAGTTGAACGAAATGCTTACACAGAAGACTTCAGTGAGCAAAAGCCGATAATTTCAGTTGAACGAAATGCTTACACAGAAGACTTCAGTGAGCTTCAGCCGGTTGAATCACAATATCTTACTTTTTTGATGGACTACAATGCTGATTTCGCTTGCGGTGAGCAATGAGAAATTTTGTAATAAGTGATTTTTGAAGTTATTCGATGTTCAGATATGTACACACCACCACCTACAACAGCTTATGAATGCCCTACAAATGATGATTGTGCTGGTGTTGGGTGATCCACTGGAAGACCTTCGTGATTTGTCAGTGGACGCTTTCGCTAACTTGTTTAACACTGATGACAACCCATCATCTCCTGGGCCGTGGTACGACTTAAATGGAACATTTGGACCTTTTTAAAGAGTCCTATAGTATAGTGTAATAGACAATTGTGTTAGAAAATGAATACGACCTATCCTACGTATTTCAATTGCCATAGAACGCAGTTTATTGCTGCTACTTTGCTTCCTAGAAGTTAGTAGTTTTTAGTTTAGTTACTTAGTTCCCTTTTCTTGTAAACCCATCTCTACATGTAAATACAACATTGTTATCCCTGTGAATATCTGTATATAAGTAACATAATATGTATAAAAGAAGATGTACACTGTTTTGTTTGCTTTTCTTCGTTGTTTAGTAGTAGTTTCGAAAGTTGTTATTCTGTTATTTTCGAAGTGTGTTTCTTTGCTGACAGTAAAGAATTCGGTTTTTAATCAGTGCAACATGATGATTGCCGTTGCGATATCAAGTATTTTACAGTGGTTTGCATGTGTCTTCTAATTGGTTCGAATTGAAGTTGGCATGTCGTGGTTGAATAGTGAACAACAAAACCCTTATTTCAAGTAGGAATGCGAAAGATTGCGGTTGAAGCGATTGATTTTGGAGAGTAGAGACAAAAAAATCGATAGATTATGATGCAGTAGACGTCTGAGATGTCAGTGCATCAAGTCAAAAGGTCAAAAAGAGTCGGCGCTATCGCATATAGGGGGCATTCCGGTGGCACTGCATGTAAAACAGCGTAAAACGTGTTTTTTTTTTCAGAAACGAAGCCAAGCTTTGGGCGGAGTTGGAAAGACTCCAAGGTGCGTTAGCTATTCTCATTTTCTCCGGAGCTTCTGCCCCTCCTAGGCTTAGTTAGGATGCCCCTTTACATTGCGATAGCGCCAGAGTTTCTAGTGACAGCATTCCGTGAACCAAGTGGAAGCGTCCCGCCGCCAGCATTTGTGACAGATGTCCGGCGGGAATTTGAACGCGTAGCAGCCCTTTCGATTTTTCGAATTTTTACCAAAACAAATGCAATTTTTTGTTCTTTTCGTTCTTATCGTGGAACGATGGTCTCAAGCCAGTGATTTATGGGTGAGATAGAATCATGATTTTTCCGATAAGGATTCCTTTGAACGCCCGATCTGTAATTGGTGGTCCCTTAGTAGACTTGTCATGCTCCAGCCGGCAACTAAATCCCACCTCATAAATCGCGATTCTGTCAGCCGTCGGTGCTACGGCATCTTTTGCCACTTGTTTTGTCGGAGGTGCTGCAAGGTAAATTCCGACTCATCGTAAGGCGTCGATACGGTTTCCCGACCTGTCATCCCGGCGCTTTTTAGCTTCATTCTAATGCGATGATGCGCGCAAGGTCAGAGTGGTGACAGAATCCGCGATCTGTTGCGCGATTCGCGCGACGGTCCTTAGAAATCACAAGTGCCCGATCAATACTGCAAGGTGTTCTCCAATCCCGCCGCCATTTCTGCTTGATGGTGATGGTTGAATGACGACTGCTCATGATTCCACTTGTTTCATATTCAGTGTTTCAAATGTTCAAAGGGGCACTTCGATTTTTGCGATCCCCGCAATTTGCGACGGCAATTTCTGGCATTAGCCTTAGGCGTGCATCACGGAATCCATCACGAGGGATAGGAAAGGGGTCGTTGTAGATCCGCTGGGAGGAGAACGATCGTAAAAATGGGGTCACCACTACATAGAACTGTGGTAGCTTTCCTAAAAGTGAGAACGTGGTAGCTTATTAAGATGATTTCGAACAGGCGCTAGGGTCTGATATAGCCGTTATCTCAGTTTGTGATCTGTGAATTTTCGTAGGACGGAAGGTACGTATAGCAGTTCGACCACAAGTGCTTCTATGGACGCGATATCATCTGTACGGCTGCGCTTCTGAATGGAAATTGGTTATCCATGAACAATATGGTCCAAAGCGGGTGTCGCAATTTGTGCTACGGGCAAAAAAACCGTTTGGCGGATCCTTGTGAGCGTTTTGGGTAACTTGATCATCAGCCGAATACGATTTCAGCGGGGCGGAAATCTTTTTGGAAGTAGACAGTACAACTGGAGTACATTTCAGAAGGGTTCAAGTTCCAGAGCAATGTGTAGGCTGCTGTTCATAATTCGATCCACCCTTATTTTCTCAGTTACTTCAGAGGAACTACAATGAATCGAAAATAGACAATTAGAGACTTCACTGACGTTATTGTACTTGATTGCGTAAATAGTATTGTACATCGCGATACTCTCAAACCGTAGGGTTCTCCTGTAAGTGCCATGGTATGTTTGGACATATTGAACTTGCTTAAGCGAATATATTTACACAGTAACTTTCACACTGCATTTTAGTTTTGAAATTATTAGCTGAAGATGGTCTCTCTGGATCCCATTTGAATCGTACGCATTCGGATCCGTCGTAACCCCAACGTTCTAATGTGCCGGATTCGTGGTCGAATATGGGATGCGCACACGTGGTTACTGAAAGATCACATGTTACTTATACGGATCATGCGATAAGGTAAAATATAGACTAAAATATTGAAAAATACTGGTTAAACGTATCGTACTACTTTAGAATTTGTACTGACTCGGATCTGGGCAACAAGCTCCGTCGAGGGTGCCTGCAGCGGACAGTCCTTGGATGCATTCGTAGCCGGTGTCACAGTCATTCGTCTTGGAGGAACACAGTATGGGAGGGCTTAGAAGATTGTTGGTGGAGCTACCGCGAAGGATAACTTGATAACCAGCTCCGTCCGGCAGAGGGCAGGTGAGTGGCGGTCCGACTTGACCGGTGGCTGAAAGCCAAATTGTTCACGATAAACTCAATGTGTTCAGCAGATGAGCAAAAATCTTTCTCTGTAGTGGTGTCGAAGCATCTTTTTCCAAATCGCAATCGACTAGTTCATTCTATATGTGCGTACTTTATGTACAATAGCTCATGGCTATAACCATCCGACGAATGGCCTAGGAGTGGAAAAAGGGGGCAGTTGAACAATGGACACGGTTGATGTGCGTTTTGCAGCAGCGTTGCATCAGTCCATTCCAAAGCTAATTCCTTACATCTCAAGGATCTGCCTGTCACTATGCTCCTTTATTTACCCCAAGGTTCCCTTTATTTTCAACTGATAGTTGCAAAATTTGCTGCTGTTGTTGGCACCCCTATGTGCAATCCTACTTACTATAAAGCGCTTCGTCTGTCGTTCTGTCGTTCTGTCGTTCTGCATGTCTTTCACGAAATTCCCTAGCTCCTCGAGTATCCGCCTGGAGAGACCGGGTGTGGGACGGGTGGGCAGGGTCTCACGAAGTACAAAACACACATCAGGTAAGCGGAACCCCGCCCACAGTGGGCGTGGCGTGCATCGAAATGAACTGTACAGATGACCGAGATTTCAATTTCAGTGACAAAACAGCTTATCTTGTCGTGTGGATTTGGTTTCCGGACTGGCCAAAAAGTGGTTCATAGGTGTGCATTGGTAAGTCACATCGAATTAGGGAGACCCACCCCCGGTGGGCGGGGCGTTCTCCAAAAAAGCAGTGCTTTATGAAAAATTTCATAACTCGGTTGGGAGAAAGCCTACAGAGCAGAAAACAATTTGGTGTAAGGGAGCAATGTCTAAGGTGTTCCCTGCATACATGACGTGGGCGGAGGCGCGCTCTGAAGTGTACAGCATTTTCTACAAGCCCTCATAATTCGGGCCGGAGAAGTCATTAGGGAGCCAGAAATAAGTGGATAGAGGTGGGTGAAGGAGTGGAGCCCAAGTGCTATAGGTTGTAATCGTGGCATACTAAATGGTGGAGTTTGGGAAAACTCATAACCCCTAAAAGCCGGAGACCTAAAAAAAGTGGAATAGAATGGGTAAGAGTGGTCCCAAGTGCATATGGTTTATAGCGGGGCTTGACAAGTCGGGCGGAGTTTGCGGCGAAAATTCATAACTCCCTTCCAAGAAGTCCCGGAGACCGGGAAAAAAGAGGATAGAGGTGGGTGAAGGAGTGGAGCCCAACTGCATATGGTGGACGGGGCATGACCAAAGTGGGCGGAGTTTGCGGCGAGAACCCATAACTCTCAAGAATCCGCAGAAGAGCGGAAAAGGTGATAGCGATGGTGACAGGAGTGGAATCTGTCGCTGTATTATCAAAGAGGGTGGTTCCACGAAACTTTGCAACTCGGATCCAAGTAGTCCTGGAGAACGGGAGAAGTGGGCGAAGGAGAGGAGGTGAATTTCTTATGGTGTGCGGAGGATACACCAAAAAGCAGGTTTCGCCGTCAAAAGTATAAATCGGCTGAGAGACAGTTCAGAGATCGGGTAGAAAGGGGAGAGGTTGGCGAAAGAAAAAAGATAGGTGGGACATGCAAAGAAATAGGCGTAGTTTACCGAGAGATTAAAAATCGGTCCAGAGGTCATCCGAGACCGGAAAAGCGGCCATTGCTTCGAAGAGCAGACAATTGGTGACCGAAGAGGAAGTTCAAGAGGCCGGGAGTGAGATGCCTGGACAATTGATAGTATTCCGAGTCTGGAAATCAAATATCCGACAGTTATCGAGTAAATTCGAGAATTTACGCCGCACCATCCCATATTGCCGCTGAACTGTGCTGTACGCGCAACGCGTGCTGCGCCAACTGGTAAATGCAATAACCAAGCTTCCTCGAGCTGTAACTTATACTGGAGGCAAACATTTTAATAATCTTGCAGACACACCTATACATATACAGTGCGTACCAAAAGTATGTGGACACCCTAGAATCGATTCTCAGGAGTCAGCTAAAGGCTTTTTGTGTTATGAAACCTTCACCATTCAACTCCTAGTGGTCGATAACCTACAATGACATTCTCGGCAAAAGATTTCGTTCTAACTTAGCGAACTATTTTTCATGGAAAGTTTTTTCTTTGTATCAAAATTATGTGGACACCCTGAGGCAGATGAAGTTTTTGCATCGATTTCCTAACCTATTTTTACTTCTCCTTTCGTTACTTATTCTGGCATCATTCCTCTTCACGGCAAGCGTTTTTCGTTACTTATTCTGGCATCATTCCTCTTCACGGCAAGCGTTTTTCTGAAGAAGACCGAGCACAGAAATGGGATCCCCATGCTTCTGAACCTTCCTATTGCGAAAGCACGTCAACCAGTCATGCGTCCTCGTAGGTTTGGAGAGAAATCCGAAATCCTGATGCTAAGCTCTCGACCTTGACTGAGGGTTGTTCTCAATCGCTACTTGTTCAAAACAGGAGAAGAATAGCCTTAATTTTCTCAAATTATTCTTTTCGTACTACTCAACTTTACGCATAAATGATCTTCCGATCTTAAAAAGACCAATCGGTGTCTCATTCAATCAATTGAGCACACGACACGAAAGAAGATGAAGAAGGCTTTGTATATGAATGCGGGTTCAGGTTGGCAAGGTTGGAATTCCCACTCAAAAAAGGATCACAACATGATACTTTGAACCCACACAGACAGTGCTTTCGTGGAAATGGTAAAATTAGTATAAAAGACTTTCTGTGGAAATTTCTCTCATAGACCAACTCGACTGGCAGAAAGAAGCTTATTCCTTACTATTCGGGTGGGTCTTGAGGTTTTTGGAGAGACTTTGGTCGGACCCGCAGATGTGCTCGAAGAGACAATTCGGAAGATGTTCATCAATGTTCATCAAGGTCTGGGGTGGTTCCAAAAGGAGGGGACATTGAAGTTTGGCTTGCCAACATGTCAGGTAGACGACTAGGATTATAATGAGGTGCTTGAGTCCCGGCTACAACCTTTTTCGAAAAGTCATGGTTGCAAATCACTTGTTTTGCAGGGGAGGTCCCTGACACCATTCCATTGGAAAAATGCTAAACGCAACGGCTTTGATTGGCAAGTCGGCTAGCGTATTCCTCAGACTTCATCCTTATTGAAAACGTAGAGGTATCGTGGTTCGCGGTCTCTACGTCATTGAACAAAAAGAGTAATATCACAAGTGACCTAACACGTCGGTGAAATTTGCTAGTTGGGAACAGATCTGCAAGACATGTATCCAGACCCCATTCATAGCATGCCAAACAGAATGGCTCAACTTACTAGAAACTTTGGTAGGCCTACCGATTTCAGATTCTGAAGATATTGCCGTTTTTCAAAAAGTGTCCACATAATTTTGATACAAAGAAAAAACTTTCCATGAAAAATAGTTCGCTAAGTTAGAACGAAATCTTTTGCCGAAAATATCATTGTAGGTTATCGACCACTAGGAGTTGAATGGTGGAGGTTTCATGACATAAAAGCCTTTAGCTGACCCCTGAGAATCGATTCCAGGGTGTCCACATACTTTTGGTACGCACTGTATATGCATCTTACTGAGTGCAATTCTCGTTGAATATATTCATGGCGTACCCTTTTTTATGATGTAATCCCGACGATCGACAAGCTGATTCGATGATCTGCGGGCCATTTCTATTTGACAGTTCCGTGTGCAAGTGCAGCCGCGTGAAAAACATATCCGTGCCGCGTACCTGTAAATGTAGCTTAGACTGACAGCCTTACCTGCATCATTCACCTGCCAAGCACACCCATTCCCGCGACTGGGGCTCTTTCGTCGTACATAGTTCTCAGGGCATCTGCATCGTGAGCGTTGACATGTTGATCCAGGCCAAATTACCTCGCAGTCCTCATTGGACGTACATTTCTAAACAGTCGATGATATACGGTGGGGTCTAATTGTAAGCTCTTTCATAGGTCGTGTTTTATTAGGTTGTCTCATAAGTGATGTCGTTTTTTTTCAACCAAAAAATTTTCATCTAAATCATGAAACTTTTACATCGTTTTATATATCATTCGAAAGAGAATTGTCTGCTCTACAAAATGCTGTGTTCCGCTTCCACCTGTTTTCAGGGTTTTCGAATTTCAGGCCTGCGAAATGGGAGGTCCCGCCGACAAAAATTGACCAAACCGACAACTAGCTCTAACTTTATTTTCCCTGCGGAGAAATCAATCAATGATGTACCCTCTACTTACTCATGACCTCTTCTGAACATTCCACCCTTAGGTTGCCGAAAAAGCTTTGCCGTGTTTCTTTTCGAATTGGCTGACCGATAAGCCATAGCAATTTTCAAATTGAAATTTTTCCTCGTAAACGCATTGTTTCATATCGAGTGGTGTTCCTTTTACGAGCACTTCTTCTGCTCTACTCGCTCATTTGTTTTGTTTCTCTGTTTGTTGGGAATTAGTTCGAATTTTAGATGTTTCGGTATAAGGTGCTTTACCGCGAAAGTGACCACATTTCTTTGAAAAAAATTATCCCTTAGAAAATGAGAAAATCAACCAGTCGTACATTCCTAACTTAGTCATGACTTGTTCTTCAAATTCAACCAGTTCTTCAATGTCTCGGCCATAAAAAAATTTCGACCTAGATCTCAGGTAATGGTGCTCGATCGTCGAGTTCTGGTTGAAAAACCAGCTCTGGAAATTGAACGACGCGATTTGTAGGAAAACCTAGTAGTGTAATGATTAGAAGAGGTCATGCATAAGTAGAAGGTACATCATAGATTGATTTCTCCCAAGGAAAGATAATGTTAGAGATAGTTGTCGGTTTGGCCATTTTTTGTCGGCCGGACCTCCCATTTCACAGGCCCAAAATTTGAAAACCCTGGAAGAAATGTGGAAGTGGGACATAGCATTTTGTAGAGCAGACAATTCTCTTTCGAATGGTACACAACACGATGTAAAAGCATGGAGGTTTAGATGAAAATTTTTTGGATGAAAAAAAGCGACACTGTTTATGAGACAACCTAATAATTTGGCTCAGCCGTGACGCGCCTTACTCACCTTTACTTGAGGCTTTACAGCCCATATATGGCAGCTAAATAGTATCAGAGAAAGTAGTGCCAGGCTCATCGCTTAATCATTGCACGACCAGGTAGTTCTGAATGTGTTCTTATGAAAAAAGGAAGGGACGAATACCGATCGGTTGTTTAACTCGCAAAACGTACTTATAAACCATGCGTGAATGAGATTTCAAAGGAATAAAATTTTTGAGGAGTACGCTTACGAGGAACGGAAATAGAACATCAAAAGCCAAAGAGACGTGGTCTTATAGTTTTCCGTTTGATTGTGAAAATAGGAAAAACTACGAAAATTAAATGGAGAAAAGTGTGATGGAGGGGCTAGGTCGTGAATCAAGTGCGTCTGATTGTGAGATAATGTCGTGGCACAGCGGGTGAAGACCTAATCTTCGACGATAATTTATTGTACTTCCTTTTTTCTGATCTTCAGAGCTGAGAGAATAAGGAAGTAGAGTAAAAAAAATATCGGGGAAGCTGCCGCTTCCTCTAAGGAATCGAAGATCAGACGCATCGGATACGCCATGCGTTTTTGAATGATCATTGAGTGATTATCGACTGGAATCTTCGTGACATCAAACAAACACCAGGGCAACTCCCGGCCCGTTGGTCGACTGCAATGGATGCATGAATGATCTGACCATGAGATTTCACGTGTCGATTGAATGAGGAGCACTCACTGATATGGTCTACCGTGCGACAGAGCAAATGGAGAGATGAGCTCCTGTCGCTCGTTTGAGAAACTAGACGATCAACGGGACGACAGGTGCATGTTATGAGTAAAGGATAAAAAAAGGATAAAGCATTTGCCGTTGATCAATCCCTTTTTGGGATGCGGCACGCATTCTACTTCCATTTGTACATTCGTAGTGGCGTTTGAATGCGATGTGGCCTATACAATGACTTGCGGGGGCCAGCCGATGTACAAGTCAGTGTTTTTATCCTCCCAGACAAGTCTGGTACCAATTAACCGACCCCGGAGGGATGGAAGGCTTGGTTGGCCCGGGCGACTCACGACCCAGGATTTGATCCCCGGACCGCTCGCGTGGTAAGCGTGCCACTTGCCACTACACCACTTCCGCCCTGTTATGTATACTATACGGTAATTCCTTTCTTTTCCGAGGGAGGATGGTGATAATACTGACCTGCAGTAATTTTCAAATTCGCCTTTTCTGAAAAATAAGAGGAATGGGAAGAAAAAAATTTGTCGTCGAAACAGGCAGGGCTGAATGTGTGGTCGAACACTTGTATTTCGACACAAAGTTC